ATAAAAAAAATATTTTTCTTTAATCCACGATTATTCGACAAAGAAAAAAAATATTTTATTCAAAATATTTAAAATATTTTTTTTCTTTGCCAAATAATCGTGGATTTAAAAAAAAATAATTTTTTTTATTTACCAAAAATCCCGGACACCAATTTATTTTCCTCTAGACCCACAGTGCCTGGCAACTTCGACAAAAATAACCATATTTTTTTATTGGATCGGACCTGACCAAACCCTTGTTGTATCTCTATGTAGGTGTATTTTTCCTGAGCACGACCACCCTTCACACCCTGGATTTAAAAAAAATAATTTTATTTACGAAAAATACCGGACACCAATTTATTTTCCTCTAGACCCACAGTGTCTGGCAACATCGACAAAAATAACCAGATTTTCTTATTGGAATGGACCTGACCTTAGTTAATATCTTTTTTCTCATATTTTTTCAAAATCTGTTTAGTGTTGAACAAAAAACTATAACAATCTATACAAAACTATAACGATGCGATTATGCAAATCAGCACAGATGTTAAATCGATGATGGCAGATTAAATATGTTTCGAAACGACAAACAATAGAGAACATAACAAGGCAAAGAAGACGAAAAAAGAGGAAAGACCAAAAAAAAAAAAAATAGTAAAATCAAATGCAAGACATATTGGTATCAATGGAGGGTTATTATTATGCTAATAATGTATTGGTAATATTTGTGGTAGGTCAGAGGCCAATACGAATTGTCACCAGGGGCTGGATTTTTGTTCTGTGGAAATAAGTTGAGTGGTGAAAATTCACTACTCTATTTATAAACCAGTAAAGAAAGTCTTAAATTCGGGCAGGACCGACTTTATGATACCCTACACCACTTTGCTAATTTAGTAGAGCTGCGCATAACAATTAAAAGTTTTTATGGGAGAATTCGATTCGATTCGATAATTTAAAATTCAAAGGACGAAATATGACGAAGCATTTGTATCTTTTAAATTCGGAATTGTATTGCCCATTTGGTGCAACATTAATTTGAAATCAGATAAAGATATATATGGGAGCTATATCCAAATCTGAACCGATCTCGATAAAATTTGGCAAAGATATTTCTGAGCTGTATTTGAAATATCTCCCTGAATATCGTTGTTACGGAGTGCATATTACGGCTGCGGAGGACTAAAATAACAAATCGGATGAATAATATATATGGAAGCTATAGCTATATCTGAACCGATCTTCACCAAATATGGCATACTACCTTCTAGACTAAATTCGGTCGTATGTGCCAAATTCCATCCCATTTAGACAAATATTAGACGTTTGGTGCACAATAAAAGGTAAATCGGACGAAGTTATATATGGGAGCTATATCCAAATCTGAACCGATCTCGATAAAATTTAGCAAATGTATTTCTGAGCTGTATTTGATATATTTCCCCAAATATTGTTGCTACAGAGTGCATATTACGGCTGCGGAGAACAAAAATAACAAATCGGATGAACAATATATATGGGAGCTATCTAAGGCTATATCTGAACCGATTTCGATCAATTCTGGCATACTTATTTTCAGACCTAATTTGGTTGTATATGCAAAATTCCATACTATTCGGGCTGATATTACACGTTTGGTGCACAATAAAAGGTAAATCGGACGAAGATATATATGGGAGCTATATCTAAATTTTGACCGATTATCTCCAATTTCAATAGGGTTTGTCCTTGGGCCAAACAAATGATCTGTTCAAAGTTTCATCTGGATCGGGCAATAAATGCGACCTGTACTTTGTTTACAAAAATACATGGACAGACGGACGGACGGGCATGCATAAATCGACTCAGAATGTGATTCTATGCAGATCATCAAAAGGAACTATGGGTCTATCTCGTTTCCTTTTGCCTGTTACAAACAAATGCACAAAGACATAATACCCTGACCACCTTGTGGTGTAGGGTATAAAAAGTCGATTATGCATGTCCGTCCGTCGGTCGTTTTTGTAAACAAAATGCAGTTCGCATTTATTATTGGACTAAGATGCAATTTTCTAAATAACATTTGTTTGACTCAAGGACGAACTCAATTGAAATTGGTGAAAATCGTTCCAGATATATATATATATATCTTACTCCGATATAAGGTTTCTTGTGTACCAAATGGCTAATATCAGTCCAAATGGTGTGAATTTTGGCACATCCGACCGAATTTAGTATAGAAATAAGTACTTTAAATTTGGTGGAAATCGGTTCAGATATAGGTATAGCTCCCATATATATGTTTCATCCGATTTTGGTGTTTATGTCTCTCACATTCGTAATATACACTCCATAAAAATGATATTTGGTACCAGACATTAGATTCAGCCTAGCAATAACTGATTCAAATTTTATCAAAATCGGATCAGATTTGGATATAGCTCCCCTATATATCTTCGTCCGATTTTAGGTTTCTTGTGCACCAAATGGCTAATATTAGTGCAAATAGTTTTTCGCACTTCAACCGAATTTAGCATATGAGCGATAATTTCAAATTTTCTCCCATATATATGTTTCATCCGATTTGGTGTTTAAATCTCCAACTTTCGGAATATACACTCTACCATAATCATATTTTGTACCAGATATCTCATAGAGCTCAGAAATGCCCAATATAAACCTTTAAATTACGAGAGCTGTACTAAATATGCATAGTGTAGGGTGTAGGTGTAGGATATCATATAGTCGGCCCCGCCCGACTTTTGAGCTTTCCTTACTGGTTTAACATCAAAGTATGAAATTTCCAAATTCCATCGAACGAATGAAAATAATACGAAAAATAAGTATTAAGATATTTTTAGGTAATAAGTTCCTAGAAACCTGCCTCAAGGGCGACCCGTATGAAAAACATTAAAGTTCTACGTCTTATCGATATCTTCATTATAAGCTTTTACAATTGTTTACCTTTTAGCACATTTTGTACCCCTTCAATACGAATTTTCCAAAATGCTGCTTATCTAACGCCTCCACATCAAGCTACATCCTTATGCATAGTCCTACATTATAACCATTACGAATTGCTTAATAACAAGGGGTAGGTCATGTTAACTTTAAATTCCAACTTCAAAAAATCCACTACCGAGGCAGTGGTAAAAAAGTACGAATTTCAAAAAAATTATTGGAGCTTAATCCACGTCGATGAGCACTATTTCTTCTTGAATTTGAGAAAACAAAGGGCTTATCTCATCACTCCCACACAAAAGTCTAGCTTTAGTACATTTGGTACATTTTGGTGCTATTTTAGTTTGAATATCTAAAAATGAGGGTTATCTCACCACATTTAAATCTCAAAATGTACTCACATTCTAAATATCAAAATTCTGCATTTGTTTTATTTTTTAAAAAATATTGTAAAACACATTTAGTACATTTTAGTACTTTTGGTACCATTTTAGTTAGAATTTCTAAAAAAATAACCATATCTCATCTCTAAGACCCAAAATTGAGCCACATTCCAAAATGTAGAATTCTAGATTTACTCCTTTTATAAATACCATAGCACGGAATTTGGTACTTTTAACCACTTTTGGTACCAATTTCGGTACGATTTTCTGAAAATTCAACGAAAATTTACCTGTAACCCTAAAATTGAGCCAGAATTCTAGAATTAATCGTTCGCCAAAACCAGAAGAACGCCATTTAGAACCTTTTAGTACTTCTGTTACTATTTAGTACTTTTGGTACCATTTTAATTGAAATTTTTATAAATGCGACAGCGTTTCCTCTCTAAAGTCCCAAAAGTTGTCTACATTTAAAATTTTAGGATTTACATTTACTAGTTCGGTAAATATAGAATTTAGTACCTTTTAGTACGTTTTGCACAATTTTAGTTCAAACTTGAAAAAAATCGACCTATGTCCCCCTAATGTTGCCGAATTTTTTATTTGAGAATTCTAGATTTTATCGTTCCCTAAATAGTATTGATCAGCATTTAGTACCTGTTACTATTTTTGGTACAAATTCAGTACGAATTTCTAATAAAGAGATTTCCAAAAAATCGACCGTATCCCTCCTTTTAACCCCAAAAGTGATGATTTTACAATTGCAGAATTCTAGATTTAATCTAAATGCCATGGTACAGTTTAGTACTTTTGGTACCGTTAGTACCACTTTCAAAAACTGTGGCCGTACTTCACTTGTAAACCTCAGAATGACTTATATTTCACAAATTTAAGAGTCTCTATAAATTCAATCTCTAAATTCCATGAAATTGTATTTAGTACCTTTTTGTACTTTTGGTATCATTTTAGTCCAATTATTCAAAAATGTGACAGTATTTCACCTCTTAACCTCAAAAGTGAGCCACATTTCAATTTTCTTAATTTATATTTTTTGTCTATCCCTGAAAACCGTACAACAACATTTAGTACCTTTTTTTACTTTGGTACCATTTTAGTACGAATTTTCTAAAAAAGAAGACCAAATCTCTCCTCTAAAACCCAAAATATATCAATTATAAATTATTAGAATTATCGATCTACTCATGGTACAACATTGAGTACCTTTTAGTACTTTTAGAACCATTTTAGTACGAATTTCAAAAATATGCCTCAAAAACCCTAAAAGTTACCCATACCAATTTTCGAAATTCTAAATTTTATTATTCGCTGTATAGTATGGTACAGCATTTTGTACTTTTGGTACCATTTTAATTTGCAACCGCATCTCACCTCTTAAAACCTAAAAGCGAACTTCATTCCAAATTTTCAGAAATCTAGATTTATTTTTTCGCTAAATACAGAGGAACAGAATTTAGTGCCTTTTAGTACTTTTGGTACTATTTTAAGTCCTATTTTTAAAAATTCAACAATTTCTCGCCTCTTGCTACCAGTGACCTTCATTTTCAATTTCAAGGTTCTAGCTTCAGATTGCGTCATCAATTAACCCATCCTGAAGCTCTTTATCAATTCTCGCTCTCTATCCATCTCTCTCTCTCTCCCTCCCTCACTCTGATAATGTTTGTCTCTTCTCTTTCAGCACCTACACCACAATGCCTCGTTCTCTCCTTCACCTACTCAGACTATGCCTGCTCATCTCATTGCTCCCGAATTCCCACTGCTCTTCTATTGCCGAAAATGAAGCAGAGGTGATGAAATTCCTGGACGAAGTCAATCATCGTCTGGCCATACTCTACAACAAAGAGGTCCTGGCGAATTGGCAAAATGAAATCCAAGGACCCAATGATTTGATAGCCCTGCTGCAATCGGAAATTGCCACCAAAGAGATAATGCGTTACATTCAGAGCATAGCGGTGAAGGTGAAGAAATATAAACGTCTGACATTGGATAATCAGGATTTAAAACGACAACTTTCTCTAATACCCGAAGTGGGTTATGAAGTGCTGCCTCCGGAGGATTTGGAGCTTCTGTATGCCGTTACAGCAAATATGAGTGAAATTTATCGTCATTCCAAGCTGTGTTCCTATGAGGATAGGGAGAAATGTGATCTGATGTTGATACCAGATGTTCAGCGAATTCTGCACAGCACCGAGAGTGTGGAGGAAATTGAATACTATTGGCTGGAGTGGAGGAGGAAAACGGGTCTGGCGGCCCGTGAGGATTTCCACAAGTTTGTGGAGTTGTATAGGAAGACGGCGAAGCTGAATGGTGAGTTGAAATTTTAAAATCTATCTGGGTTTTGAATTTAACTCTCTCTCTTCTATCCTCTCTCTCCTTAGGTTTCAACAAACCCTCTGACTTTTGGTACAAAGATTTAGAGGAAAGCAGCGATTCAATGTCGAAAATTTTAGAGAAATTCATGAGGGAATTGAAACCATTCTTTGAACAATTCCATGGCTATATTCGTGGACAATTGAGACGGAAATATGGTTCGGAATTAATTCAACCCCACAAACCCTATCCCCAACATTTGGCCGAAATATTTATTGGAAATGCCTTTCGCTATGGTGATACCAGTGGTCTAATGCATCTGCCCTTTAATCAAATGGCAATGCCAAATATTACGGAGAACTTGCTGCGGCGAGGTATGACAAATACCCAGGTGAATTTCTGGAATGCCAAGGAATTTTTCCGTTCGCTGGGAATGCCTCAACTGGAGGAGTGAGTACTGAAAATGATAACTCCATTCTGATAACCTTTAAAACATCTCCTCCCCTTTAGCAAATTTTGGTCGGAAAGCTGCCAACCCAAGGCCGATTTGGACGATGACCATTGCTGGCACAAGGCCTGGAAATTCTATGGCCTCTATCATGTGAATTTCTCCTATTGTCCCTTGACTACCGAGGAGACTTTCTTCAATATGTTCGAGGCCCTATCGGATGTTTACTATTATAAGTCCTATGAGAATTTGGTAACGCTGTACCAGGAAGAACCATTGCCAAATTTCAGCGATACTTTGGGGAAATTTTTCTCCTTGGCCGCTTCATCGCCTAGGTATTTGAAGAAAATGAAGGTGGTTGGTGAGGAGTATACTGGTAATGAAGCCAGGATAAATCGGCTATATATTCAGGTAAATTTCATTTAAAAATTCCACGTTTAAGCCTGGCAATGGTTCCCTGAAAATTTTATTTAAAAATCCACGTTTAAGCCTGGCAATGGGTCCCTGAAAATTTTATTTAAAAATCCACGTTTAAGCCTGGCAATGGGTCCCTGAAAATTTTATTTAAAAATCCACGTTTAAGCCTGGCAATGGGTCCCTGAAATTTTTTTTTTAAAAATCCACGTTTAAGCCTGGCAATGGGTCCCTGAAAATTTTATTTAAAAATCCACGTTTAAGCCTGGCAATGGGTCCCTGAAAATTTTATTTAAAAATCCACGTTTAAGCCTGGCAATGGGTCCCTGAAATTTTTTTTTTAAAAATCCACGTTTAAGCCTGGCAATGGGTCCCTGAAAATTTTATTTAAAAATCCACGTTTAAGCCTGGCAATGGGTCCCTGAAATATTTTTTTTAACAATCCACGTTTAAGCCTGGCAATGGGTCCCTGAAAATTTTATTTAAAAATCCATGTTTAAGCCTGGCAATGGGTCCCTCAAAATTTTATTTAAAAATCCACGTTTAAACCTGGCAATGGATCCCTCAAAATTTTATTTAAAAATCCACGTTTAAGCCTGGCAATGGGTCCCTGAAAATTTTATTTAAAAATCCATGTTTAAGCCTGGCAATGGGTCCCTCAAAATTTTATTTAAAAATCCACGTTTAAACCTGGCAATGGGTCCCTCAAAATTTTATTTAAAAATCCACGTTTAAGCCTGGCAATGGGTCCCTGAAATTTTATTTAAAAATCCATGTTTAAGCCTGGCAATGGGTCCCTCAAAATTTTATTTAAAAATCCACGTTTAAGCCTGGCAATGGGTCCCTGAAAATTTTATTTAAAAATCCACGTTTAAGCCTGGCAATGGGTCCCTGAAAATTTTATTTAAAAATCCATGTTTAAGCCTGGCAATGGGTCCCTCAAAATTTTATTTAAAAATCCACGTTTAAGCCTGGCAATGGGTCCCTGAAAATTTTATTTAAAAATCCATGTTTAAGCCTGGCAATGGGTCCCTCAAAATTTTATTTAAAAATTCACGTTTAAACCTGGCAATGGGTCCCTCAAAATTTTATTTAAAAATCCACGTTTAAGCCTTTCAATGGGTCCCTCAAAATTCTTTTTTAAAAATCCACGTTTAAGCCTTGAAATGGGTCCCTGAAAATTCTATTTAAAAATCTACGTTTAAGCCTCTCTATAGGTCGCTCAAAATTTTATTTAAAAATCCACGTTTAAGGTTTGACATGGGTTCTTCAAAATTCTATTTAAAAATCTACGTTTAAGCCTCTCTATAGGTCGCTCAAAATTTTATTTAAAAATCCACGTTTAAGGTTTGACATGGGTTCTTCAAAATTCTATTTAAAAATCCTCGTTTAAGCCTGGCGATGGGTCCCTCAAAATTTTATTTAAAAATCCACGTTTAAGTCTGGCTATGGGTCCTTCAAATTTTTATTTAAAAATCCACGTTTAAACCTCTCTATGGGTCCCTCAAAATTTTATTTAAAAATCTAGGTTTAAGCCTGGCAATGGGTCCCCCAAAATTTTGTTTAAAAATCCACGTTTAAGCCTCTCTATGGGTCCCTCAAAATTCTTTTTAAAATCCACGTTTGAACCTTTCTATGGCTTCCTCAAATTTCTATTTAAAAATCCACGTCTAAGCCTCTCTATGGGTCCCTCAAAGTTTTATTTAAAAATCCACGTTTAAGCCTCTGTATGGGTCCCTCAAATTTCTATTTAAAAATCCTCTTTTTTCTTTTCAGGGCCTTCGCACTATCTTCTTGATACCCGTCTTCTACATTTTGGAACGTTATCGCTTGGACGTGTTGGACAAAAGCATGAACATCAACGACAACTGTGCCTATTGGCGTTTAACGGAAGACTATACGGGAGCAGAGCCTCCGGTAGTTCGTACCAATGAAGACTTCGATGCGCCAGCCAAACTCCTCATGGAAGTCGATGACCAATATACCACACAAATATTAAGTATTGTCCTGCAATATCAGCTGCTAGAACATTTTTGTTCCGCCACCAAGCAATATAAACAAGGAGATCCCAACAAGGCCTTGGATTTGTGTGATTTGACGGGCCAGAGGATTGTGGGAGAGAAAATAAGGTAATCTTTAAAAGTTATTTCTTTTTTTGATTTTTTTAAAATACCTCTAAAATTGTTTTGCAGTCAAGCCATGGCCCTGGGCTCCTCAGTTCCCTTCAAGCAGGTTTTGAAAACCATTCTCGATACGGATGAGCTAAGTTTATCTGGCCTCTTGGAGTATTATCGCCCGTTGTACGATTGGCTGGTGGAACAAAATCGTTTGGAGAGCAATGAAATTGGCTGGGAGAAGTCGGAGAGTAAGTTTTCTCATTCATTTTATTCTCTGCCATTTATTTGTGGTAGTTGTTGTTGTTGTTTTTATGATTAATATTTTGTTTTTGTTTCTTTTTTCTTTTTAGAATGCCAACCCTAATGTGTGTTGAAGACATAACAGAAGATAATTCACAATAGCACACTAGTGATGTAATTTATTAAATGTGTAGCATAGTTTTAGGCTGCAATGGGTATTATTAAACACTGGGTGTTTCAGTCGTTAGCAAAAAATGTATAGTTGCTTGTTGTTTTCATAGTTGTAATTAAAAATGTAGGTAATTAAATTAAATAAAAAATTCAAAATAAATAAAAAATAAATATTGAAAATAAATTCCATATAAAATAATAGAATTTAAAATAAATTAAAAATATAAAATTGGTTAAGGCAATTTTTGGGAAAATATTAAAGGCAATGCCAATTCCTTTATCAACTCTATATCTTTTCATTAGGAGTCGAAATGCAATCTCCTGTTAAGTTCCGAATATTTTGTAGAGAACTTTCTGAAGGTCTTAGAACGGTGTTCCTGGGATCCAAGTAAATTGCAGAGTGCGTCAAAATTCAATTTTTTCTTTAAAAAGGTTATGAAAGTAGAACTAAACCAGTAAGGAAAGGTCTAAAGTCGGGCGGGGAGGACTAAATGATAGCCTATACCACTTTGCGTATTAAGTTGAGCTCCCGTAACAAAAAAAAAAAAAATATTTTGGAAATTTATGTGAGGTAGATCTTACCACCCATGAACCTTATTTGAATGCATATCATGGCTTCAGAAATATTCACAATTTGAATATTTGAAGCATGATACGACTTCGATAAGGATATATACCGGACCGAGTTTCACCAAATGCTAAAATTCAGGTGAATATAAAAAAATATTTTCAATTTGGGCGGATATTACATAAATGGTGAACAGTAACCGTAAAATCAGATAAAGAGGTATATCGAAGGTATATAAAAATTTGAACCGATATTGATAAAATTTGGTAGAGGTATTTTCGAGCAGTATCTGATGTCCGCTATCAAATATCATTGTTGTGGAGAGCATATTACGCATGTGAGTGACTTAAACCCCCAAATCGGATGAAACATATATATGGGAGCTATAGCTATATCTGAACCGTTTTTCTCCAAATTTGATGTACTTGCTTCTAGACTGAATTCGGTCGGATGTGCCAAAATTCAGGACTTCTTGACAGATATTGGCCATTTGGTGCACAATTAACACGAAATCGGAAGGTATATATGGGACCTATATCCAAATCTCAATCGACCTGTATTAAAATTGGTAGAGGTACTTCCGAGCTCTATAAGGTATCTGGTACCAAACTTCATTGTTGATGAAATATATACATGAGAGCTATAGCTGTCCAGACTGAATTCGGACTGATGTGCCAAAATTCAGGTCATTTGAGCTGATATTAGCCATTTGGTGCACAATAAACCTGAAGTCGGATAAAGTTATATATGGGAGCTATATCCATATTTGAACCTTGATAAAATTTGACAGAGGTATTTCTGGGCTGTATCTGACATCTGGTAGCAACTGTCATTCCTATGGAGTGCATATTACGAATGTGAGGGACTTGAAACCCCAAATCGGATGAAACATATATGTGGGAGCTATAGCCATATCTGAACCGATTTTCACCAAATTTGATGTACTTCTTCCTAGACTGAATTCGGTCGGATTTCCCAAAATTCAGGTCTTTCGGACTGATATTGTCCATTTGGTGCACAATTAACCTAAATCGGTTGAAGATACAGGGCGAGATATAAGTCAAACGCCATAATTTTTACATTTTTTTTTTTTTAAATTTTATTGAATGAAAGCAAATAATGTCGGAAATAGCATAAAATTTTAGAATAAGTTTAGATTTGTTCGAAATGGTCACCTTTGGCATGAATTATGGCCTTCAAACGGCCAACGAAACCACCGCTGCCCGAATATTGCTCAGCGGTATTTTGGCAAATTATCGGCGAAGCGTTTGCTTGAGGTGATCGACACTTTGGTATTTTTTAGTGCCAACCTTGCTTTCCGAAATACTCCAGACACAATAGTCCAACAGATTGGTATCCGGTGGCCATTGTGCGCTGGAAATGAAGCGAGGTGCCTCATTTTGTAACCATGCTTGGGTGGCGCGTGCTGAGTGCGATGGTGCTGGGTCCTGTTTTCCAATGTCCAAGGTCTGCAAGGCTTTAATACACCCTCCAGAATATATTTTCGCCATAATATTCGGCATTTATTCTGATGCCACGGTCGACGATTAATACAAGCGGAGAGCGACCATCGACTGTTATGGCGACCCACACCATCACCATGGCCGGTGCTTGAGTTCTGTTCCGGTGGCCAACCGAAGGTGCACATTTTCAGCAGACCTCTTTGGCAAGTAAAACACGATAATTTTGTTTGTTTACAAACTGCTGGACAACGAATGTTATCTCATCGGAGAGAGAGAGAAAACCAAATTCGACAGTTCACCATTTCGGCCAAACGAAGCAACTCTTGAGCTCTTTTGAGTCTATTTTCTTTCTGTTGCGGTGTAAGTTCTTGCACTTTTTGGAGTTTCAATGGCTTTACCCCGAGCTCCCCGATTTTTCAATATTTGCCGAAAGGCAAATGCTCTTCAATTTTTGCCATTTTTTTTCGTCCACTGCGAAGCGGGTTTTGATCAAGTCGCTTCTTTAATTTTCGAACCATTTCTGTTGATGTTGCTGTTTTCTTCCGTCCATTTCCTTGACGTCGGATGGCAGGAGACACAAAAGATTTATTCACTTTCAATGCTGGAGGGCTCTAACGATAGCCACTTGTGGTTTTCCAGCCAAATATAAAGAAATCACTCTATCACGCCTGAATTCCATCACGAATAATTTTTTTTTGGAAAATTCTCACCAAAATGCTTTTGTACGCTTGTAAACAATATAATGAACTGTCACTGGAATAATTTTAACAGCTGTCGGACGAGCGGCTTAGAAATGACAGCAGTCTGAAGTTGGTTGCAGTTTTTTCATATCAACCGTAATTGACTAAATGATGGTCAGCCAACGTTCAGACGAAGCGACAGAAGCTAGAATCTTGAAAATTTGGCTGAGAGTCACTCTTGGACCAAAGGGCTCTGATAAGGCTTGGATTTTGGAAATTCGTATTAGAATGGTACGAAAAGTATTAAAAGTTACTAAATATGGTACCCTTTGTATTTAAGACAGCAGCAGAGCTAGAACTCATAAACTTGAATTGAGGGTCACTGATGGAGTGTAGAATGGGTGTACAAAAGGATTTTTGGAAATTCGCACTATAAGTGTACGAAAAGTACTAAAATGTACTACATTTGCTACCATTTCGTATCATGTGAACGGTTAGAACTAAACATTTCAAAATTGGGATTGGGAAACAAAACTGAGGATAGGGTCGAGGTAGGTAGGAGGTAGTTTTGGAATTGTGTTCTCATGTATTCGAAAAGTACTATACGGTACTAAATTTAGTACAATTTGAATTTGTAGCAACGAATGGAGGTAGCTGGAATCCTGAAAGTTTAACTTAATATTTCTGGCAGAATGTAGGTTTGGAATATGAAGGAAGTTTTCGAAATTTGTACTTATGTACACGAAAAGTACCAAATGGTACTAAATGTGGCAAAATTTCGATGTGGGTGACCCAATGGAGCTAACATTTTGAAATTGAGAAATAAGATTACTATTGCATTCTCGGACAGAGGAATGTAGGCCGTTTTTGGATATTCGTACTTATGTGTACTAAATGGTACTAAATTTGATACAATTTAAATTTTGGGGTAGACCGAAAGAGATGGAATCGTGAAATTTGAAAATAAAACTTCATGGGACTGTATGATCTATGTAGTTATGAAATACACATTGTACTTAAGTGTACTAAACGGTACTAAATTTAGTACAATTTGAATTTGTAGCAACGAATGGAGGTAGCTGGAATCCTGAAATTTTAACTTAACATTTCTGGCAGAGTGAAGGGTTGGAATGTGGACGGAGTATTCAAAATGTGTACTTATGTGCACGAAAAGTACCAAATGGTACTAAATGCGGTACAATTTCGATATGGGTGAGCCAATAGAGCTGAAAATTTGAAATTGAGAAATACGATTACTATTGCCTTCTCGGACTGAGGAATGTAGGCCGTTTTTTGAAATTCGTGCTTATGTGTACTAAATGGTACTAAATTTGGTACCATTCAAAATTTGGGGTAGACCGAAAGAGATGGAGTTCTGAAATTTGGAAATAAAATTTCAGTGGACTGTATGATGTATGTAGTTATGAAATACACATTGTACTTAAGTGTACTAAACGGTACTAAATTTGGTACAATTTGAATTTGTAGCAACGAATGGAGGTAGCTGGAATCCTGATATTTTAACTTAACATTTCAGGCAGAGTGTAGGGTTGGAATATGGAGAAAGTTTTCGAAATGTGTACTTATGTGTACGAAAAGTACCAAATGGTACTAAATGTGGCAAAATTTCGATGTGGGTGACCCAATAGAGCTGAAATTTTGAAATTGAGAAATGAGATTAGTATTGCATTCTTGGACTGAGGTATGTAGGCCGTTTTTGGAAATTCGTACTTATGTGTACTAAATGGTACACAATTTGGTACAATTTAAATTTTGGGGTAGACCGAAAGAGATGGAGTCCTGGAATTTGGAAATAAGACTTCATTGGGTTGTATGTAGTTATGAAATATTGTACTTTAGTGTACTAAACGGTACCAAATTTAGTACAATTTGAATTTGTAGCAACGAATGGAGTTACCTGGAATCCTGAAATTTTAACTTAACATTTCAGGCAGAGTGTAGGATTGGAATATGTAGGAAGTTTTCGAAATTTGTACTTATGTGCACGAAAAGTACCAAATGGTACTAAATGCGGTACAATTTCGTTTTGGGTGACCCAATGGAGCTGAAATTTTGAAATTGCGAAATACGATTACTAGTGTATTCTCGGACTGAGGTATGTAGTCCGTTTTATGTGTACTAAATGGTACTAAATTTGGTACAATTTAAATTTTGAGGTAGACCGAAAGAGATGGTATCCTGAAATTTGAAAATAAGACTTCATGAGACTGTATAATGCATTGTAGTTATGAAATATTGTACTTAAGTGTACTAAACGGTACTAAATTTAGTACGATTTGAATTTGTAGCAACGAATGGAGGTAGCTGGAATCCTGAAATTTTAACTTAACATTTCTGGCAGAGTGAAGGGTTGGAATGTGGACGGAGTATTCAAAATGTGTACTTATGTGCACGAAAAGTACCAAATGGTACTAAATGCGGTACAATTTCGATATGGGTGAGCCAATGGAGCTAACATTTTGAAATTGAGAAATAAGATTACTATTGCATTCTCGGACAGAGGAATGTAGGCCGTTTTTGGAAATTCGTACTTATGTGTACTAAATGGTACACAATTTGGTACAATTTAAATTTTGAGGTAGACCGAAAAAGATGGTATTCTGAAATTTGAAAATAAGTCTTCATTGGATTGTATGATGTATGTAGTTAT